AGGTGGTTTCTATGGTTCATATCTGAGATCAGGTGGTTTCTAATGTTCGTATCTGACATCAGGTGGTTTCTATGGTTCATATCTGAGATCAGGTGGTTTCTAATGTTCGTATCTGACATCAGGTGGTTTCTATGGTTCATATCTGAGATCAGGTGGTTTCTAATGTTCGTATCTGACATCAGGTGGTTTCTATGGTTCATATCTGAGATCAGGTGGTTTCTAAGGTTCGTATCTGACATCAGGTGGTTTGTAAGGCTCGTATCTGAGATCAGGTGGTTTCTAAGGTTCGTATCTGAGATCAGGTGGTTTTTAAGGCTCATACGTTGTCTATAAGAAGGGTTCTTAAACGTTTTGGGTCTGGGGACCCCTTACAAGGGTCAAAAAATTCCAGGGGACCCCGCCCCCTTAGCAAACCCCATGCTGTTAATGCAAAATAATTTACTGTTATTTTAATCCCTAAATGCCATGGTAATAGTATTTTTGTTTGGTTTAGTATGTTTGTTTTACTAGTGCATCATTCCCCATATGCATTTTATTTAACAAAAAAACAAATGAACAATTTCTTGAAAATTTTTGAGGACCCCCAAAACATGATTCACGGACCCCTGGGGGTGCTTGGACCCCAGTTTGAGAACCTCTGATCTATAAGATTCTTACCTGAGATAAGGTGTTTTTCAGACAGCATGATCTTGGTGACGGGGCTGCGGTGGACAGAAAAGGTTTGGAAGAGTTGTGGTCCTGAACCAACGGTCTCTGGATGTTGAACAATGACCCGAACAGTCCCAGAACTGGTCCCGTATGCAATCTCGATCCAGTTCCCGCTGTCACCTGAACAGATGCAACCATCTCTTTCAATCAGGTGTTTGACTCGACCTCAGAGAACCTGAGGTTCTAGCAGCATGCTGAAACATGAGAACAGGTTGTGGGTCTGTCCCTTACTGGTTTTAGGAGTCAGGTAGACACTGAGAGCAGTGATGGCGTCTTCAGTCGGGTCTCTGTAGAGCTCTGTCACCAGCAGGTCATTGTCCTTCATTCTCAGTGGAAACTTCTGAACATCTGACCAACAAAGAACAATGTCATTTCATTCTGGTCAGAACCCAGTTCTACCAAGGAACCTGAGAACTTCTGCAGTGATGAAAACCTGAAGCTTTTTTTAAAAAAAGGGTAATTAATCATAGATTCTCAACACAGCCCTGTATGATGACATCTGGTGGCCAAAGGTATGAGAAGCATCTTAAAACCACAACGTAAAATAAAGGGCTTTCTCCTGACAGCTTTTTAACATCTGGACATCTGTCTGTCTGATGTCAGGTCTGTCTGATACCAGGTCCAACTCAATGTTCAGAGCACAGAACAGACGGTAGGCTCTCACTTCTCAYGAGTCTGACATGCTTCACACATTTCCACACGTCCATGCTGACTCTCCCTCCTGCCATTACGCAGCAGAGTTTCTCCAACTTCTGGACTGTTTTAATCTTAAACAGCATGTCAGTGTTCCCGCACACAATAGAGGTCACACTCTGGACTTGGTCATAACGGACTCTGTCCTGCCTATTACCCCTCAAGTCTATGATCTGGGTGTCTCAGGTCATATGACCATCTCACTGCAACTTTCACACCAATCCCTCAACCAAAAGGACCAATGTCAGATCTCATTCTGTAATATAAAGAACATTAACACTGAAACTATGGCAGCAGACCTTCAACTTGCTCTTTCTGAAAATCCTACATCACTAAATGGATCAGTGGATTTGTATAACAAAACCCTGAGCAGTCTTTTGGATCTCCATGCTCCTGTCAAAACCAGATCTGTCAGCTTATCCTGTTCTGCCCCTTGGTATAATTCTGATTTACGTAAAATGAAAACATCTGTGCGTGCTTTGGAACGAAAATACAAAACCTCTGGTCTAACTGTCGACAAGCAAAACTATCGTGGGCACCAGAAAACATATTCCAAGTCCCTAAAGGAGGCTTTCTTCCACGTGACATTCCAAGGAGGTTTTATCAGCCTGCGACCGAGGTCACAGCTGTGGGAGTCCAATGACAAACATAATTCTTTAGGGCAACCAGCAGAAGAAGATTCATTATTAACATTAACAAACTGAAATCTATCAGTTAAATAAGACTCAAACCATTTTAGAGCTGTTCCTGTAATCCCAACATCAAGTTCAAGTCTACGTAATAAAATGTTGTGATCAATTATATCAAACGCAGCAGAGATCTAACAGGACAAGAATGGACACAAGTCCACTGTCTGAT